GAGAGTGAAAAATGCCGGTAATGCCCGGCAGCCTGGTCTTTTGTTCGGAGTACGGTCTTTTGTTACAAGGCCCTGTTTCCTTTGTCCGAGTTCGGAAACCCCGGCCACGCATATAAACCATACGTCTCTGATCCTGGAGTCCCCGCCAGGAAGTGGTTAAAAGCACCCAGCAGCAAGTGGTTAAACCTAACCCACTAGAGTCAGTAGAGTGTATGTAAAATCATACTGAAATCACAGAATTCCGGTCAGTTGGGGTTAACGTATCTGTTAATGGAGGGGCCCAAAGAGTGAATTTTGACATGCTGAGCTTGAGTTAGTCAAAACCCGACAAAAAGAGAACCGCTAATACACGATCTTAAATTCATTCAAGGAAAATTTAAGGCCCAAGTCTTTCTATTTTGTCTTCCATCACTGACAATGCATTATGACAACGTTCGTATTAGCAAAAGGAACATACTACTTTGTCAAGTATGTAAAGGCCGATGTTGAGTCTGGATCCTCTCGTATACTGCTAAATATTATAGATGCTTTGATTGGCTGCCATCAATGAGGAATTTTTTGTTATTCAGATTATGCACAAGTAGACTTATGTATGTGCATATTTCTTTCTGAATTTTATACCAAATATGACTGCAATATCAAATGGATCAGTTCCATTATTGTACATCACATTGCCAAGTTTGCTTCTGATTCCAACTTACGATGCGTGAAAAAAGTACTTGTATTGCTAATACTGTAATATTTTCCCTTGAAAAAAATGGAGAAACTACTCAGCATCTATGACGTATGGGCAATTTCATTTTTAAAACTGCGTTAATTTTAAGGTAACTGTGGAGCTGGGTGAAACACAATTTTGGAGTATTCAAAGCTTGCTGATGACTCCCAAACCACACCAAACCAAGCATGTTGTCTTTTGTTTACATAATGGCCAATGGAGCGCACTACAATCCAAGGGCAAACTCAATCAACAGTAACTGCACAGCCTTATCAGCTTGACATCAGTACCTTTTGCGTTTTTTTTTTATTAAGGGCAAGATGGAAATAGTTACGTAACTGGATTAACATCTGTGTCATAAAAAATTCCTCAAGAAAACTGAACCCTACAATTACTGAAAATAGAATCCTTTACCAAAAAGAATAAATTTGCCAAAGTGATATTAAATTAATTACACTGAGTTACATGAAATGAGCCTGAAAAAATATTTGTTGAGCATCTCAACTGCTGATTTTGATGTTCACTGTCTGTCACATTTTCAAAATCATTGTACAGTTCGGTCTTTTTCCCATTTACTACATGTATTCATTTGGCTGCATAACTCATTTTTTAAAGTGCAACATCTTGGGCATATTAATCAGTACGTGTACTTGTATACAAATAATAATAACACTTATAACAAATGCAGTGTTCTATTCAGCAAGCATAAACATAAAATATTTTATACATATGAATTCTGCATGTAGAATTTGCATGAAGTTAGAATCAATACTTCTCAGACATTGCTATGTCCTGCAAATAAATTCCTTTTTTTGACTGCACACATTTACATTTGATTTGTTCATTTCTGGAGCACCAGCATCACATACACATATTCAGAAATCTGTTTTTGAGAGGGAATGGTATTGGCTTTATTTTGTGAAGAGCCTAGTGGAAAAGTCTCATTGCGTAGAGTCATCAAACAATGTGACATACAGGATTCAACTTCTATGACACTTCAATCAATCTTGCTCCAAGGATAGAATGTTATCTTTTTTGCCATGCGTGGGAGGAATGTTTCATGAAACATGATCATCAACTCGTCAATTAGTTGACGAGGCAATTCATCAACATAGAAACATTGGCACTTCCTGTATTCCTTCATCACTCAAGGTACGCTAATGGTATGCTTAAAGCACTACTACTCCATGGACCTCGGACTTGGAGAGCTTTATCCTGCAGATGAATCCTGGTTGAGTTCACTGTATATATAGGAAGCTCTTCCCTTATTCCAGTGGCTGAAGAAATGTTTAAAAGGTAAACATTGCTTTTGTTTCAACCGGCCGGGAAGGGGTTTAACAATATGCAGGGATTATGTGGTCTTTAACTACAAGTGCATTATTACATAAAAACACTTTGACCATTTACATCATGTGTACACAAGTTTCAGCAATGTGCAGAAATAAGATGAAAGCCCATACGATAAAATGCACTGAAAAGGCACTTTGCATGTATAAAAAGGGTTTGCAAATTGTTTATTTAAAAAGTAGTTTTGATAAAAAATTAGTTGTCAGATATCATAATTAACTAGCAAACTGCTGAATTTTAAAGCACAAGCACTTGTCAAAGTCAAGTCTATAATGCCATTATATGGAGGTTATTTTTAAATTTTTATGCACGTCTATCATGTACAGATATATCTTTCCAATAATTTCATTTTGATTTTCATTCCTCTTAATAAGCCCTATATATTGAGCCCTATATCAAAATTCTTATGTTTACAATGATCAAATATTGCATATTGATACCTCTTAACATACAAACAACTGTACAAAATTAACCCCAAATCACAAATGAAATCATATATATCATTAAAGTGTGCTTAACGGTTGTGTACTTGAAAGAATGAAATTTTCTAACTAAAATTTGTATTTTTCTGCATCTGGCAAATGCCATTATTTAAATACAAAAACAAAGCACAGTCTTTCTGATCCATTTTAACTAATATTCCAGGATTGTAACTGTCAGTACATGTATATGTTTTCTCATGTTATTTAAAATACCAATGATAGCTTACATGTAGTTGACTACAATAATATTCCAAACTATATTCACTTAAAACCCTTAAGCCTAAAGAACAAAATCTGTCCTCCACAGACACGCCTGCACATGCTTTGTTTGGTACAAGACTACATGACAGTTGAATGATTGCAACTGCATTATGAGGAAATAAATCATTTAGGGGATTGTGACATTAAATCTTATACAGTCTGGTCCAAAAACTAACAAAAAAGCTCCTCTCCTTAATGCAGTGCTAGCCATGTCACTTGTGCAGTATGCTCACTACCAAGGACTCCCACTAATCTTTTCCACTGTTCCCTTTACTTGGACCTGCACATTTTTAGGTATTTGTCCAATTAAGTTTGCACATGGATCTACAAAAGACTTGAGTTCTGGTTCTCAGGGTTTAGTAGTGGAGGATAACCCATCCAATTTTCACAGACAGTGCTTGAAATATCATTTGGTTTCACATTATGATTATTGCTAAGATCAAGTGTTCTTTTATAAGTCAATATCTGGTGACTCCAAGAACTGAAAGCATGTTTTTTGCTAGAAGCAATGCACATTTCCGTATCCATGTGTTTATAAGCATAAAGTAAAATTACCAAGCTGTTCAATCAGTTGTTTACTCAGTTGCCATAATAACAAGGCATCCTGGGGGATGGGTGTACATATCCCCCACTTTTTGACAAGGGGAATGGGCTAAGGAATCATTCCTTCCCCCCCCCCCAACTTTTTTGTGGTGAGAAAAACAATTAGGGTTAAACAACTGATTTTTGCTGATTAATGTCTAGTTCTGTTTAACTGTACAAATACGCAAAATCCATTTATTATGAATGTTCTTTTCACCGTGCTGGTTCTCCTCTAACTGGTGAAATATGTAAATGCAGTTACAATATAATCCAAATGAAAAATTTCTTTATGAGGGCATTGTGGTACATGTAATATACTTTAAATGATTATTCCAATCAGCACACAACCTTTACATATGAACTAAATTTACATTAAATCATTTCTATCCAATTTAATCTAGATATGTACATTTTTCATTGGCACCTCAATAGTTATTACTGGGAACTGTCCTACAACTTCCTTGCAGGGCCCTGTCTTGGTCAGATGTTATCCGGTGAATATTTGTTTACTATTAGGGTCAACATGTTATCCTGTCAATGTTCATGTATAAGGGAAGGATGCAAATCCAGCACATTCACATCCACAGTTAACTCCTGTCCCCTTTGATTTGCTTGTAAGTTCAATTTACACAGGATAATCACAAACAATAGCCCTCCCCATCCCCTGCTCTCTGAATTTTCACGTGACAACAGTCTGTGCAGAGCTATGTACATACAGGAGCTGTGCCAGTCTGGTTAGGATTTGAGATCAAAGATATCTACAAAGCACATCGAAGAGGAAAGCCTCAGTGAAGATAAACAAAATCAATCATCAGACTGGCAGCCTGAGATGACAGCTGTATCTGAGAACAGGTAATGTCCCCAAACCTCTGCCACTGTCCCATTCTGTTGTATGCTGTGATGATCCCACCTTTGTCAAAGACTGAATGGTCTAGTTCTCAATCATGTGTGCAAAATGTTATCAATCGGTGTGCCTTATGTGCATGTATTACCATTTCCCGATCCTGTTACATAAATCATAAGAAAGACAAAGAAAGGAATTCCAAAAAAGTGCTACATTCAAAATAAAATGACAATTCCATAGGTAAAAGCTACTAAGTATCTCTCTACGTACCATACTCTAGCACAATATACCTGCTATCTGAGTAAACACTCCACGCGTATGAAAAAAGGGGAAACACCCCAACACACATGGCTATGCTCTCTTATAACAGATGTCCGTACTCCAGCAAAATATACCTCTTCACAGTAAACACTTTGCACTCATGAAAAAAAGGGAAACACCCCAACACTCATAACCATGCTTTCTAATAGACTATACAGTGTTTTTTTTGGTTTTACTAGACAACACATGCAAACACTTTAAGTGACAATGAACTTTAAAAAGTCAACCACTACTGATTAAATAACGTGTGACAAGTTAACGAAGCCAGCACAATCAACTCATACAAGCATATTCAACAAACTTAGTCCAAATCCATCTTTTGTTTTAGTCAGTAGTCTAAATATCCAGTTCATTTGGCAATAACAGATTTACAATACATGTACTTCCACTAAAATAGGATAAATGTGATTACACAGCTTTCAGACTTCTGTTACTTACTCCATTTCAAACAACTTAAATTTTAAGTCATGTTGTTATAATTTCTCTTTTTTGGAAATGTACTCTTTGTACATGACTATACATTTCTCTTATAGAATGGAAAAATAAAGAATTACCTTATACTTTCATTAAATATTGAGAAAAATATTCATTACAAAAGGAAATAAAGTCATAGTAGGATTACTGCAACCAGTAACGTGATTTACTTGCATGAATGTGCAGGCTGTAGATATCAGAAGCCAGCATCGAACATTTACGCATGGCTCAGTTTTAATATAATATTAACCGGAATGAGAAGACTGTATATGCTGGATGGCTTTGGGATGGAGATTTGAACAACTGACTTTCAAACATCCAATTGGATTATAACCTCAAATCCATTCCCCCCCCCAAAAAAATCCCCATTTAGATTGACTTGTTTCTATTCAAAACTCAAAAATTCTTTAATGTGGAAATGTCATTCAGTTATGGATCACTCTCTCACTGGTGAGAGATGCTTGTTGACAGAGTTAATCAAATGTGATTTAGATTCCTATGCTAAGCATCTTGTTTACGTTTAATATACCATCATACCATGTCTGTTCTATTTTATTGTGCCAAATTGACAACAGAAATCATGAACTGATATGAGGCACTTTCCAGACCTCTTCCTGATATGGAGATGTTTCACAGCTGGACTGATGCTGTGCTATTTTGTGTGTCTGACTGGATCCATTCATTGGGAAGTGGGGGTGGAGACTTTGGACTTGGCACACGTTTTGGAAAACCTAAAGTAAAACAAAAGCAGATAAAAATTACTTCAAAATATCACTGTAAAATAAAAACCAATATAATTCTCATCTGGAAAATAAGTAAAAGTCCTTGAATTCTTTTCATGGAAATACCACAGATTTTGCTCTTGCCAATTGCAAGGGTGATCAGGGAAGAAGAGGAAAACAGGTGAGTGGTGCTGTCACTGGCAGTCTGTATAACAGAAGTAGGCTTGCTTTTATTCTGAAATCTAACACTACCATTTTTCCTGATACATTATTTATTTTGTGTTTATGTATTTTTAAACAAATTATAAAACAAATTAGACACTAAACAAATGTACAAGCTACGTCTGCCCTAATACTCACTAATATCACGGCCTTGGAACATATTTGGTTCTTCCTTGTAAGTTGGTTCAAACTCTCTCAGTGTTTTTTCTGCAAGAAAAAAAAAATGAACATCACAAACTAATGGCTGAAGAGAGCTGATGGAAATGATGGATACAGATTTTTAAATCAAAAAATGAAAGATCACTTAACCAAATGTAACTGTCCCTACTGGACACCCCCCAGTCCTAAATGCTTCAATTTTGAATTTTTTTTCATACAATTTGGTGATGCTCTTGCAAATACAGGGGTGTGAGTGGCCACTTAAAATTAAAGCTGGAAACAGCTAGCAAAAGTTTAAATTTAAAAAGTTCCCACATTTTTGTACTGGCTAGGTGTACACAAAAAAGCTGAAATTCACAATCAACATCTACGCAAAAAAAGCTGAAATCAGCAAAAAAGCTGAATTCTCACGCCCCTGAAATAACAAGATGAGCACATTGTGCATTGTTAACTGTAGTTATCAATGAAGAAGCATGTAACAACATGTAATTATGAGCCTAGCCATCCATTTTTCAATGTTGATGATGCTGGGCCAGTATAATTATCATTTTTTCCATTTTCAAAATTCTTCAAAAATTCATCATTTCATTTAATGGATGTTTATAGCCGCACGAAGTAATCTTTAGGCACTCCTCTAAGTTGACAGGTGACCTTCATTGATTGATTGTGCAGTGTTATGTAACTTTCTTTTGTTCACGAATCTGGCTCAGTGTATTGTTGACGTCTTTTCAATAGGGGCCTGATTAGCATGCAGCAGTGCTGTGTGGCTCATCACTGCGGTGGTGGAGCGCTTTTGTCCCCGGTGGTAATCCGCTCACTATAAATGCCCCAAACCCTGGTATACAGTTTCAAAACAAAGCTGGATTATCACCACTTTTGAGAGTGAAAAATATTGATAATGTCCAGCAGCCTGGTCTTTTGTTCGGAGTACGGTCTTTTGTTACAGGTCCCTGTTACCTTTGACCAAGTTCGGAGACCCCCGCCACACATATAAAGCATACGTCTCCGATTCCGGAGCCCCCGGCAGGAAGTGGTTTAGCACTTGCTGCCTTGGTTTCCAGTACCGGACACATATTCTTTATACACGTGGCCAGGTCTCCGAAATCGGACAAAGGGAACTGGGCCTTGTAACAAAAAGCGGTACTCGTAACAAAAGACCAGGCTGCTGGGCATTACCAACATTTTTTCACTCTCAAAAGTGGAGATAATCCAGCCCTGTTTTGAAACAGTATACCACAGTTTTGGGGGCATTTAGCCCGAGCAGATTACCACCAGGGACAAAAGTGCTCCACCACCACAGTGATGAGCCACACAGTACCCCTGCACGCTAATCTGGCACATATTGAAAAGAGGTCAGCAGGGCACTGAGCCAGGTTCGTGAACAAAAGAAAATTATGTAACACTATACAATCTGGGCTCTTTTTACAAGGCAGCAGGCCTGGCTGAAATACTCCAACATCAATAGATGTTGTCTGTCAGATTAGAGTAGACACCACACAGTCCTTTGTGTGGGTGTAAGTGTTCAGTAAATGAAGATAGGAGTTTTTAAAGAATTTTGAAAAAAAAAAAAAAAAAATCCTGCCCCAGCATCATCAACATCGATAACTGCTCCGGGGGCGAAGTGGTTAGTTTTTTCCTGATTGTCTCCAGATTTACTTTCTGTTTAAGATTCACATTGACAGAAATGAGAGACTATGGGAAATTTGGTCTTTTACATCTCAATTAAATGATGGGATTCACCTGTTCATGAAAATTTAAAGCACACTATAATGATCTGGCTTCTGCCTTCCTAGTCAATTCTATGAGTTTCAGTGAACTAACTTAAAATGATAAACCAAGCCACAATATCATGGGCAAAATAGACTCCTAAAGAGTGTTGACAAGGAATGTGGGATCCTAGCCGCCTTCCTAATAGGAAGTTGGTGAGGAAAATCCTCCTGTTTGTATTTAAGTATTCCACTGCAGAAAATACACCACAAAATAAATGCTTTCTTCACTTAAGATATTTCACAGGGTCAAAGCATCAGACCCTGTTTCCAATATATGCAGCCGAATTCCCCAAATAAGTCTCCCATCTAAATCTGGTCACTGTGTAAACACTCATCAACAGGAATGCTTTAGGTTTGTGACATTGTTCTATATCAATAATAAATCCTTCAAACTACTGAAATACACCTAAATGATGTAAAAAGCAGATTTAAGATCTGGTACACATGTACTTGACTGACTAGGCTTTCTTGTAACCTATAGGACTATAATAATCAAATACCCCAAGATGGAAGTTTCTTTAAAAGACATTTTGCAATGTCATGTTAGCCTTGTCAAAGTAACAATGAAGAAAAAGATTGATAGATATGGAAGTCAATATAAACAATGCCCCACAGCAGCTTGTGTGGGATGAGCTTACTAGAATATACTCTCTCCATAGCATCCACCTTTGTGCATATTTTCCTATCGGCAGTCAGTTTGATTGTTTGATTAACTGCAGTGCACTCTCCATCGAACACAATGCATATTGGCGCCAACCAAAATCTTTCTTGCCTTGCCATGGTGGGGAGGTGATGGAGGTGCTATTTGGTTAAGTATTTTCTAGAAGACTCACCCACACAGTTGGGGGGGGGAGTGGGGTGGAAACATTACAGCAGAGCTTGTTGGAGGGGACCATGGAGTGAGATTCGATGCTCGGGACAAAGATATCTAGGGGTCAAAGGTGAGAATCTGGTTCTGTGTCAAGAATCTCATCACAGGGACAAGGTGCTCCTCACTGGGTTCCTGGAGAATATATCCTGAAGTGGATAATGCCTGTTATTCACTCCCTCAATGTTACCAATGCTAGGTAGAAGGATTCATGCTGATGCGCATGAATGAAGCTTGGTTGACAGCTTCAAATGGTGCTTCAGCAACTGGAGGACCGTCCTCTGTCTCATGTTGGAATGAGGTGACATACAGGTGCTTGCTCAATAAACATTCCATGAATCAAGTAATTCCGTGCTTACTTATCCAAGATGACAGAGCCCTTTGGAGAACCCCTAGGGACAGTTATGATGGCTGCAAGGTAGTTTCTGATTGCTGCCGAGTTGAGGAGGTGCAATAGAAAGTTAGTTACTGCAATCTCAAATGTTCTGTTTGGATCCAGTGACTTCTCCATGCACCATGAAGTAAAATGCTGTACTGTACTGCCATATATTTTCCAGGTTAACCCCCATTATCCCAGTGCAGCCATGGTGGCACTGTTTTTAGAAAGGCCTGCCACCTGCAAGGTTTGTTGCACAAAGGCCAGCATGGCAAGTAGAGATCTTCCTATTTCAAGATGTACTTTGCATCGGAGAGATGCTAGATTTAATAACAGGTTTTGCCCTTACACTGACATATATTCATAAACACTGTATACTCAGTACTTGTCCAGGCACTAGTATAAGCTTGCTGGGGCCGGCTGGCTAGTCTTTGTCAAATGTAGCAGGGGTACTGCGAACTATATCAAGATGTACAATGTACTTTGCATCAGGGAGATGTTAATTGTAATTAAAGGTTTTGGTCTTACACCAAGATTTTGCCCTCCATAGCTGGGTGCTTTCCCCGGCTGACGGAGTTGGAAATTTGAACAGCAGAGTTTTTATGAACTTGATAATGTATTCTTGGCTGACTGTTGCAAGCACACATCTGTCCAACGTGGTCTCTTGCCAGAACCATATGGAAGATCTCAGGGGGCCCCAAATAGGTTTGGGAACAGGAGTTGGCCCTAAAGTGAATCACTATCTGAAAGTGTCTCTGTCACGGGAGTGCTCAACAGCACCCCTTTCAGGATTTAGTTATAATTGCCCAGTTGATCCATGTATAATCTCATTGTTTCAGAACACTTTCACAAATCCCATTTTTGATGACTCTTAATTGCCCTTTACCTTAGTTATTCAATCACCAGCTTAATCACAAATATCCCATGTGTGGATGATATAAAAACATGGGGTAAAGTGCAGGAACAGGGTTATTCAGAGGAGTCAGTAACCAATAAAAAGCCCATCATCAGTTTGGCCGGCTCCTTTTCAGTCACCTTTGCCAACCCCAAAGCATTTTTTTGGGGGGTCCCATTTCCTTGACCTTTGTTGTTTGGCTGGGGGTTGGGGTGTGGATAAAAGGATGGCTGTTGTGGTGTCAACTTATTTATCTCTCTTAAAGCCATATCTCCCTGTGGGAACTTCCTTAAGTACAAATATTTGGGCGTCTCCCGCCCCTAGTCAGGTGCAAATGCTTGAATATGTCGTTGAAGAACAATCCGAGGTGCCTTGTGTTTCAATAGATGAGCCATGATGCACGGGACCCACTGGCACGCATCGATGCACTTCCAATCCCATGGAAACCGGGGTCTTCCAATTTGCATCCTTCAGCTCTCTATGGTTTTCCGTCCATTCCTACTTTCTGTTTATTTCTGGTTTAAGTTCTTTAATATATGCTGACTCCATTACCTGCCTGAGCATCGTGTCGCCAGGGCACCTGTTCAATACTTTTACCTTAATTTCCTGAGATTGCCCCTCATGTTTCTTTTGCATGTGTTGATCTCGGAACTGGCTAGTGTGTAATAAGAAGGAGGAGTTTCAAGAGATTCTGGATCATGAAATTGCTGTGGTTAAGGGGAGACTGACAGACCACTATGAGAAACACCCAGTGTGGATAAGGAGGAAGGATGCAGAGAAAAGGGAGAGACTTGTGGAGAAACAAAGCAGAAACATAAATGGCATGGTGTTCAAGGGAAGTGAATTAAGTGAGGAGTTCCACATAGGGCACCGTGTATATGGAGATGCTGTCTTAACAGAAGACAGGAGAAAAGGGAGTTACAGCCCAAGTTTGCCATATATAAAAGGAAAAATGTTGTACAGCACATGGCCGAGTTGAAGAAGGCATTTACTTATTTGGTGGAAGCATGTGGAATGAGGGCGAAAAATTAAGTACCTTAAGAGAGAGCAAGGAGAATGAAGGTAGGACAGAAAATGAAGAGGTTGTGCAGGATGCCCTAGGAGAGCTCTATGACCCTGGGAACAAAACTTTCAACATGG